GAGATGATGATTCAAAGAGACTAAATAAATATGCCCCTAGAAAATATTACATTCTAAAGATATCGATATTGTGTAGAATATCGATACCGTGCTGTAGTAGCGCAACACTACATTATGTCGTCCAATTATATTCTTTTTCTTGATTATGGCTCTCCCTCGGATTTGGCCAGTGTCGAGTGTTTGTGGTTTTATTCTAATTTGGGAGACTGTACAGATCCCATCTCTATGACAGCTGTCAATGTCAAATATTAAGGATAAGCGCGCCATTCCTGGTTATCCTTAGACTAAGCGCACAACTTTGACTAAATTATCGCACAACTGTTGTTCGATTGTCGATTGTTTCAGACAATTCAACTGTTTTTGTACAGGTAGTTGAACCTCCATATAAGCTTATAGGAAACAAAGCGAGACAACAGTTGTGCGATAGTTTAGTCAAAGGTGTACGCTGTTAGTATTGAAGTGTACTAACATTGTTACAATTATATCTTACTTATATTATAAATGCGAAAGTTTAGATGGATGTTTGTTAGAGTTTGTAGCCTAAACGGATGAACGAATCTCGATGAAATTTGGCATAAATATAGAGGATAGTCTGGATAAACATATAGGCTACTCAATTATTTTTTTTTAATTCAACGCGGACGGAGTCGCAGGCGAAAGCTAGTTATTGTATAAAAATATTTAACTCAAATTAAATTATTTCCTTATGTAAAAACAAAAAAAAAATTGTTCTATAGCTTTCGATAGCAATAGAAAAAAAATATTGTTTTTTAAATAGGTTATAAAAGAGTTTTTTTTTATCTCAAAGATAGAATTAATTTTGCTCACTAGGAAACTTTCTATTTCTGTACTTACCTTCTTTCTCAGGGAAGAGCGCTATGACGAGGCTCAAACACAGTTTGTACTGTTCATCAGTCCACACCCTGGCGTGTCGCGGACTGATGATCTCCGGCGGCGTGGACAGGGTAATGAAGCCAAGGTGGAGAAGTGCACTCTTCTCTATAACACGTCGGGCGGAATCCGTGCTGTTTTTGTATATTTTCAGTGAAGATTTAAGCGCTACTTCGCGGATTTCTTCGTTATCACTCACTGAAATATATTTTTTTACTATGATGTTGGTGTTTTTTATGTTTAAAGTCAAGCGGTTATTGTATTATTTAGAAGAATACAAGCGAAAATATGATTTTTAGGCTTCAGTAATATAGGTTTTTACTTTATGAAAATAAATTGGGTTTATGGTATTAATTTTTTTACCTAGTAACACTTACATCTCTTTTTAACATTTATACAGGATGTTTCCTGATCAACGGAACAAAAGTTTCGTGGATGTTGAGAATTTAGAATCAGCCTGTATACAGGTAATAATTATATTTTTTTTTCTAAAGGGTGTTTACTAATCGATGGATCAAAAGCTTTTATTAAAAAAGTTAGATTTATACAGTTGTTTTTTATTCATTAGATCGGAATACAGGATGTTTCTAAATTAAATTATAAAATGCCTAAAAATAATGTAATAAAAAAACATTGTAGACAATAAAATATATACTTACAGACATGTGGCACTAACGAGGCGACATATTTATGAGCTCTTGGTGGACGCATCAAACACAATTCCTCTAACAAATCTAAAGCCAATAGCGCCATCTTGTCTTCACTCACTAAATGTCTCAAATAATCGATAGCTTCCTCAGTCACAACCGGAGACTCTAAATATATTTTTCTCATCAGGACATCCTTATTATTTTCCATCAAAGGGTCCCCTCTTTCGCATACTTGAGTTATCAAAGCACATAGAAGTTGATTGTAATTCTGATCATGCTTTTCATTAACATTCTTCAAAGTTAACGGATGACGATTGAATCCTTGCATTATAGAATACTCTTCATACAACCATGATAAAGCTAAATCCATTCTATTCACAGGATCTTCTAGAATATAACTGAGTACCAAGTCTCTTATATCAGAAGTATAACTTGATGCAAAAATTGTTATGAATTTTGAACGTATTTGTTCAGCACCACCAATAATACAATCTTGTTCGGCTCTTAATATCCTTTCTACGGCTTGTAACATCAGTTTCTCTTTAATATCTTTCGGTATTGGTCTTGTTAGTTCTTGTAGTTTTAATAATTTAACTTTTTGTTTTAATTTAGGTATAGACGGAGTAGGTGGTGCTACCAATTTTTCTTTCTCTTTAGTCTTCCTTTCCTCCGCTTTTATATGCTCTTGTCTTGTTTCCTCCATTAATTTTGATACCGCTGTCTCCATTTCTCTTTCTGCTTTCGCTGATTCTTGAAGTTTAGCGACCGCGTTCTTTAAAGTTACTTTTTCATCATCATCTCTTAGTAATGGTATTTTAGTTGAAGTATCAGATAGTAAAGATGGGATAGATTGAGTGGGAGTTGGAGTGGTGGGCATTGGTTCATCTCTAATCAAAGCTAGCATCATTCTGGCTAGACTTTTCTTCTGTGTATTAGTACCTGAATTTGGTATAGGTTTGTAGACTGTTATAAAGTCATTGGGCATTGTTGGTGGGAGATGATTCAGGAGTGTTGACATGATAAGATTAACAACGCAGTCAATATTATTCAGACCTTCGAAGATAGAGTCTTCTGTAGCTAAAACTTTACTAACACTAATACTGTGTTGACTGCTATCGTCCTCGTAGACAAATTCCCCGCGACTATTACTGTCACTACCTTGACTATTACTTTGTGGTGAATCGATACGGAATCTCTTAGCTGGATTATCGTCTGATTTAATTTCACTAAGGCGTTTATTCCTTCTATCTTTTGGTACCGCTTTGTTTATCTCTTGAGGTGTCATACCGATATCTGAGAGCAGTTGTGTCAAGCTTGGAAGCATATCATTAGAAGATGGATGTCTGATTAGGTTTAAGAGGAGCATTTTCAAATGTTTTCGTACAGAATTGACTTGTGATTGTGAGAGAGTTGGTGGCAAAGTTGTGTGTAGGTCGCCTAACGCTTGGACAACACGTGGCATGAACTTAGATCGTAACTTAGCTAGAAGACATAATGTGGTCATACAAGCCATTAAGTTAACACTGGATATGTGTTGTGAGTTGTGAAATTTCAGTAACAGCTGAAATATATGCCTGGAATAAATATTATAAACCATTAGAATATTGTAGCGTAAACTTATATGTTACGACTATTGTACAGTCAGGACTGTTCGCGGTGTTCCACTTATATAAATATTGCTTTATTAGAGACAAACACCAACTCTTCTTATTATTAACCAAGTAGGTAGCAGTGAATTGTGTTACAATAAGATAATAATAAGTAATACTCGAAAGTTAAGATGGATAGATGTTTGTTAGAGTTTGTAGACGGAACGAATGAACGGATTTCGATGAAATTTAGTATGGATGAGGGGAGAGTTTGGAAGAACACATAAATATAAAACTTCACTTAATTTATTTTTAGAGTCACGGGCAAAAGCTAGTAACATATAAAATCACTTACTCAGCCTCCTCTTCCAAAGCATGTCGTTTCAAGAATGGTAAGTGAGCGGGTAGCTTATCCAGTGTGAATTCATCTTCGGAATCCTCGCTGGAGCTCTGCAGCAGAACCACCTCCTCCAGGAACTTTATGGAGTGAGTTCTTATACCCTCATTCTCACTGTCTATCATATTTAATATCAACAACTGTAAAAAAAAAAAACAATGAATTAATAAATTTAAAAAGAACAAACTGGCTTTCGTCTGTGATTCCGGCCACGTGGAATTAAAAAACAAAAAAGTAGATTAAGTATTCTTCCAGACTATCATTTACATCTATGCCAAAATTTCATCAAAATCTGTTCCGCTTTAGGCTACAAACTCTAACAAACATCCATCTAAACTTTCAGATCATAGTTATATTATAAATACGAAAGTTTAGATGGATGTTTATTTGAGTTTGTAGCCTAAACGGATGAACAGATTTCGATGAAATTTAGTATAAATGTGGAATAAAAAAAATTTCGAAGAACACTTAGGCTGCTCACTTTTGTTTTTCAATTTCACGCGGACGGAGTCGCGGGCTAAAGGTAGTTTATAATATTAACGAGATTGTACCTTTAATTTATTAAGATGTTCCCAAACATGTTGCATTTCTTGTATATCTGCATTGCTTTTACACAGCCATATTAGAACATTCCGGTACGCGATACTGGCCGCTTGTATTGCTCGCTTCTGTACCGCTATCACGGAGTCTATTACTAACATTTGTAATTGTCCAATAATCTTTGGCAGATACTCTGGATATTGTTTGCTGGAATATATAATAAGTAACATTTAAAGCTATAAAAGTACTGAAAGTTGATATACTTATATGAGAGCTATCATATAAATATTATAAATGTGAAGGTTATAATGGATGGATGGATGTTTGTTAGCATTTGTAGCCTAAACGGCTAAAGGGATCTCCATGAAATTTGGCACAGGCTTAGAGCATAGTCTGGAATATCACATAGGCTACGTTTTATGCCGAGAATAGTTACGCTTCCCGTGGGATTCATTAATTTAGTTTTTTAATGTTTACTCAATAATTCTGCAACAGTTCAACATATCTTATTGAAATTTGGCACAGATATAAAACAAAGTCTGGAGTACACATGGGATAAGGTTCATCCCATAGAAATGTCTGGTTCCCGAGGGTTACGTAGCTTTGTATTATTTACATAGTTTGTCTGTTTTCTAATACCAAGCGGATGAAGTCACGGGCAAAAGTTAGTATCAAATAAAAATTAAAGGTAGAAGCTATATTCTGATTGGAAATATAAAACCCTTACTCTTGTCGCCAGAGGGAGTATTGTAGCTACTCCCTTTAAAAATACTATAAGACCATACTAATGGTTGCTGTCATCCCTTGGCCTAGTAATATCAACCAATGACTTGACATATTGGGGGAAAATAATTTCTTTGTGTTTGTATTTTAGTGACCCCCAACCTTTTATATTTGTAACTATCTGCATTATGTTGTAATTATTTGATTATTTAATAAATTTTAATGTAAATTTTCACATTTTTTATAAAATTGTGTTTAATTTATAAAAAGTTACCGGTGACTAGCTAAGTATAAGTGCAGTAATATTTTCATGTAAGTGACTTTGTTAAATTGTCTTAATGAGAATAAAGCCTTTAAGCCTTAGCCATCAGTTTTTGTATTGCTTAGCTGTAATCCATAAATAAAAAATGAAACATTTCAATAATTCTCAAATGAGTGTATACTTATTTTTAATAGAAAACTTCGATATAATTTAAAGTTTTGTAAATGTATATTTATGCAACTGACTGAACATTCTAACTTGATCAGTGGAACCATACCTTAACTCTTCAATGAAAGCAACAACCTGCTTTTTCACATCAGTAGATTTGTCACTGACAAAACTTAGAACATTTTCTATATAAGTAGGAATGCTTTGTGGTGCCTGGTGTATCATAACCTCTATGATTTTTCTTAATAAATTCGCCCTTTTTGTGCCTTCTGATAAGCCAGCATCGTTTATCCATTGCACTAGCTGAAATGGAAAGGGAGAATGAAAGACATTTGGAATCAGTGTATTCGTTATTATTTTTTGTAACAAACTTATAAAACTATTATTTTAGTAACAATCCAATGAAAATCGTTTATTAAACACGAACCTGCGCTTGGGCATTGGCTTGAACACTTTGATATTTTGTAGCCATTTTAATATCTTTAAATACTCCTAAAGATAATCTCCTTTTGATCTAATGTTGTAAAGTTATCATTTTGCAGAAACCAAAGGGTGTACGATTCTGGAATCGCAACGTAGATCATATATCCCGTACTTAAATTAAGATTCAAAATCTTGTCGTATTTAAATTAGAGAAGATTTGAAATAATTTATTAATTATATACAGTTAAAATATATAATTAAACAATTTCAAATTCACATTGCGATGGACCTTGACGCGTCCATTTCACAATGACAGTGACAGCTGACATTGACAATTTACTGCAGACAACTTAGGCATAGAGCAAACATTGTGAAGAGACAGATTATATAGAATTACTCCAAGAAAATGAAAAACGGTCCACTCCATTTTTCGAATCCATCTTAGAAAAAAAAAACAGGAGTTAAAATAAGGGGAGGGGGAATATACTTTTTCAACTCTGTAACCTAATGCAGTTAATAAAAGCCCCAGTTTTTATGTATAAAATATTTATTTGGTATATTAAAAATTTTCAAATAGTAGGTATCAATACAATTATGCCATAAGCGGAGCTTGCTGAGTAGTGTAAAGTGTTTGCATTTCGTACACTCGTGGTTTATTTTGTTCCTCCATTTGTAAATACGTGCTTCTTACGACGATAAGGCAGAAGAAAAGTGTCACTGAAAAAAAGAAAGAAAAGTTTTTGAATATTATTTGAAAAATTGTCTTTTGCAAATGAATTGTGGGTTATAATAATATTCATCTACTTACAACTCCATTTTAACAAAGGTATTGTCGCCAAAAGTCCCAAGAAGATAGTAGTAACCACCACCAGAGCTAACGCGAGTGCCAAAAGAAAGAGTCCTGCCTTGAAGTAATATCTCATGTACTTTGCATTGTTCTGAAAAGGTTACATTATGAAAAATAGATATAGAGCAAAATGTAAGATCATTAAGCGTAAAAAAAGGTACCATATGCACACCGATGACAAGTAGAAGACTAATAAAAAAGTAATAGAGAAGGACTAGCAATAGATATGCGTGGGATATGTAGACTCCAAGCGCTACTTTGGCAATCTCCTCGGCTGTGTGCTCCGGATTCGGTTTAACCTCAGAATTTACGTACATTACTACTTTGTAGAGGGACCAAGATACGGCGCCTGTGAATAATGCGGATATTACCTGAAACAAAGGTTTAAATAAACACTTTTATTTAAATAAAAATGGTTATCCTTAAAAATAGCACTGGAAAAATCGAAATTGACATTGCGTATAACTCAATAATGAACTTTTGTATTTGCTATTAATTTTAGCACTGTCGCAAAATTAACGCAAATTTAAAAAAAAATCAAACTTTTACATTGCTGTAAGAAAACTCACAATAGAAACATATCCAATTACGAGTGAACCGGTCCTCAAACTAATGCAACAGCATTTTTCCATTCTCGGTAGAGTATACGCCATTTTTTCCAATAACTTAATATATTTACGAACACAAGACACAAAATATTTTGTTTTTAAAATACATAACAGAACTAAGACACTGTTTTTCTACTAATGTATAAACGAAAACAACTTCTTGGCGTTAAAAATAAAAACTAACTATTTTGTGTATGATGCACCAATACCGTCGGTCGAGCGTAATCTGCTTATCTCAAACAAAAAGGGCTTTATCGTGATAACGCATCGCCGACGAAAAGTTAGTAGAAAAATGGACATGTATGTTATATTGACGAAATGTTGTCTATTACGAATCTTATGCAATCTAATTAAATTTAAGGCACATTTTTAAATCTGAATATTTTCAAACATTGAATTATTATTTACTGACTTTTATCACATTAAAACAAAACATAACTATTACTTAATGGGAACCAAAATAGATTACAAAAATGTTATTATTGTTTTCTTTTATTAGTAATGTAATATTATCTGTGGTAAAAGTTAACTCTAAAAAGTATTGTCTATTCTTTGAAAAAAAAATCAAAGAACATTAAATTGGACTTCGTATCATTGCTTTTGTTATCGCTATTTAGTCGTTCATTCCGTTTTCGATAAATAATTTATATTTAGTTATTAGCTTTCGCCCGCGACTCCTTGCTTAATTAAAAAAACAAAACACAAAAGTAAGCCTTTCTGTTCTTCTAGACTCTACATCTATGCCAACATCGAGATCCGTTAACAGTTTTGGCGGCAAACTCTAACAAACATCACTTCGTCGAAACTTTCGCATTTATAATACTAGTAATAAGCATAAATTTTTTAAATCTTACCATATTTAACGGCGATAGTAGTGGGTTACAAGAGATGTTGTCTGAGATTGACCTTCGCTACCTTTTCTAAAAAAAAACAGAAATATCAATAAAACAATTTTTTAAACTGGAATATTTCGCATAAGAAAATCTTTATAAATAATAAATGGCTTTATATATTTCGTGTAGTAACTAGTTTCTAAAAAAAAAACAAATATTTCAATACAAATTTGAAAGTTTTTAAAAATTCTTCTCGAAATAGGAACGTAATTATCGAAAATGATAAACCCATCAAAGTTTGTTGACTTACGACTTTGTGCTTAGGTCATAAAGGTTTTGCACTTTCTCTGGATAATTTCTAGGATCAATTTCATCTGACGTTAAAGTCACGTAGTAACTGTATACAGTTATCAACGAATAGAACTCCAGAACTGCGGAGAAAAAAATGTATTTTACGACAAAATGAAAAGAGTAGAGAGTGAATTTCCTTCTACAAATGTATCGAAAAACAATTACAAATATTTTTAGCTAACAGATAATCTTACTAATGTTACAAATACGAAAGTTTAAATGGATGAATGTTTGTTAGAGTTTGTAGCCTAAACGGCTGAACGGATTCCAATGAAATTTGGTACAGATGTAGGGGATAGTCTGGAAGAAAACAAGGTACTCACTTTTGTTTTTTTTATTCCACGCGGACGGAGTGGCGGGCTAAAGCTAGTACTGTTTATTAACTTATTAGTTAATGTAGAAAATGGCGTCGGGTCGATTCAGGGGTTAATTCGAAAGTATTAGAAAATATGTTTTATTACAAAGACAACACTGATCATGTAGTACTTTTAATTATGGAAAACTAGCTTTCTCTCGCGACTCCGTCCGCGCGGAATTAAAAAAAATGCAAGTAGCCTATGTGTTCTTCCAGAATATCCTCTACATCTATGTCAAATTTCATCGAAATCCGTTCAGCCGTTTAGGCTACAAACTCTAACAAACATCCATCCATCTAAACTTTCACATTTACAATATTAGTATGATTTACAAGTCGTTTTGAATCAACATAGATATGTTGGTCTCTAGAGATTGCAGGCTTTGACCAGACCAGACCTTGGTTTTTTGAATTTACATATAATGTTCGAGTCTCTAGGGGGATAGTTGCCCTTCTAGAGACGCCTATGTTACGGTTGCCATTTTAATTAAAACATGATGATATTTATATCACGAGGTACATGAATATTTACCACTAGCTGTTGCTCGCGACTTCGCACGCGTTAAATTTATAGCCTATGTTACTCACAGATAAATTTCTTTTCTAATGGTGAAATAATTTTTAAAATCGACCCAGTAGTTTTTAAATTATTTCAATTTTAAATATATACAAAAATACAAATCTTTCCTCTTTATAATTTTAGTATAGAAAGTTCAATACTCACTGACAAACATCAACATGACCAAGTACCAGCCTATAAGCTTCCTGTGGTTGAGGCACAACGCCAACAACAGTAGTACTTCGGCCAGCCATGTGACGCAGCGGCAGATCAGATACTGTCGTAGTGGCCGCGATCTTAACTGAAATTATGGCAATATCTTTTTAAATAGTATTCTGGCTGTATTACTTCAAAGACTTAGATAAAGTGTAGGGAAGCTGTAGTAGACAGTATAGTAACATTCAAACTTTATGGCAGCTCGGAATGTCGTAGATTCTTTGGGAAATATGATTTTAGGCATCGTTGGGACGACAAAGTGGCTCAATCTGGTACTAATAGCAGTAGACAAGCAAACGATGAGCCGTCATAAGGTTTTAGACTAACTTTTCATCATTTTTATATCTTACTAATAATATAAATGCGAAAGTTTGGATGGATAGATGTTTGTAGGAGTTTATAGCTTAAACTGCTGAATAAATCTCGATGAAATTTGGCGTAGATGTAGAATTTAGTCTAGAAGAATACATAGGCTACTTAATAAGTGTTTTTTTTAATTCCGCGTGGATAGATTCGCGGTTGAAGGCTCTGTTGAAGGTCTAGTATAGAGAAAAAAGTCCAGACGTACCTTATACAAGCCCCAAGTGAAATAAATAACACAGAACATAAATAGTATCGCCTCTACAACTAGTAGGGCAACATATAAGTAGTAAATAAGGTAGAAATTTTCATCAAAAATGTATTTCTTTTTCGGCCACAAGAGTAGCATGTGCAGCGGCGATTTGCGTCGTGCCAACACTTCCAGTATCGCTGAAGAGAAGAATACTATGCCGAACCATGATCTGAACTATAAGTAAAAAGACGTTTAAAATATCTCGCTATTTGAGTATATCAGAGGAAGTTTGAGAGTAGTCCCAGGATAGAGAAAGGAATAAAAGGTCAGCATGGTATGGGCATGTTATGAGTGATGAATCGCATGTAACAAGAACGTTAGTTATGAATGTGGTACACCGGTAGAATTAGACCTAGAAAGTGATGGATTGCGTGAAAGGTGACATCTAGAAGGGAGTGATGACTGAGATGACGTAAGAGAGTTATTTGCAGAACAGAAACCAGGTTAATGAGGAAGATGATGACTGCAAGCGCCATAGTTTACATCACGGTGATTCCTCCACCGTAAGCATATCAGGTGATGTACAGTCGGGGAAACTGGTATTAAACCTTTAAGAAACGATACGCGGAACAAATGTACAAAGCAGCTTATTAAAGGTACGAAAAAAGTCGGTTATTGATACACTTTGTTTGCACCACTCACTGCTATCTAATAAGTTATTTGTAGGAAGACACGGAGTTTATAATAGACAAGGCAATTTTTCCTGCAGTGACCGTGTCCGCGAGTGTACATATGAAATTTAAAAATGGAAAACATTAGTACATTGCAGGATTTGAACCCAGGATCTGTAGATTACAAGTCAAGTGGTTAACCTCTAAGTCTGCGCTCTAGTATTATAATAGTTGTAAAATTAAGATGGTGTAGGAAACATCTGAAAATTGTAAAAGGATATGATACTAACAGAAGTCCAAGCAAGAATGATAAGGCAACCAAATCGTAACGAGAAGAGCAGTAAGAATGTCTGTATCGTTGGCAAAATAACTTCCACAATTAAACACATTGTAATGCGTTATAATATCTATTTATTGATCATAACTATTGTACGTTACTATTGGTGCCTTTGGGACTGAAATTCACTTTAAAACATTATAAATTAAATAAACATGACATGTTACAAAAGAGGTTAGGAAATGATGTCAATTTGACAAAAAACTACAGATAAATAACTGACATCTATAAATGGAGAGGCTATGCGACATTTATTTTGTGTCTATTTTATTTTCGCCATCTTGGCGTTGACGTCATTAGTCATTCATAAAGGTGAAACGCGTAATTGTTCCCACTTCACGCCTGTCATCTGTGTGGTCGTGGTATTGCAGCGGGCGAGCCGACCTATGCGTGCTACAACTGTCAAGTCTAACAATATATCATCTAACTAATCTAACCAATATTATAAATGCGAAAGTTTAGATGGATGGATGGATGTTTGTTAGAGTTTGTAGCCTAAACGGCTGAACGAATCTGAATGAAATTTGGCATAGATGTAGAGCAGAGTATGGAAGAGCACATAGGGTAATTATTTTTGTTTTTTTTTAATACCACGCGGACGGAGTCGCGGGCGAAAGCTAGTAACCTTTAAGTTGTACATCAGATATTTTGTTATCAATGTGCAATACTTTTGAAATGCAGTAAAAAGGAAGTGCCAAAAGATAAGATGATCAACGAAGTATTCATTGAAACCTCTGACATTTTTTACTTAAATTGACGAACTATAATATAACTAAAAGCGGTAAACAAACGCGTCAATGCGATAGTATAAATATTCGCAAGAGATAAGATAACTTAACTTCGATAATATTTCTGATTTGCTTTGCATGTTACACGTTCAGTTTCACGTTGTATTTTATAGATATATGAAATGAATAAAATGTGATTCCTACGAGAATATTATAATTAAAATAATGGTGATACTTAAAATATGTTATATTTAAAATATTGAATGGAATTGTGTTTACATTTAGTGATGAAATCGTAAACGTTTTGAGTAATGGAGGTTTTTCGACAGCGCAGTCTTCGGGAGGTAGTCGATTTTTGTAGAGAACGTGCCAAGGAAAAATTTAAGAGGTAAGTAATTTATTTTTGAGAGTGAAAATTCTTTAACGTTTTCAGAAATGAAAATAAAGCCGTATTAAAGGGTAGCGTTTCAAATACATTTTAGTAAACTAGTGACTAGTGTAAGACGCGGATTTTTGCCAAATCATTTCTATTGAAAACATGAATATTTACACTTTGTTATTTTCCCCCTGGTCGTATATCACTCACGTGGGATCGGCGCACAAATCAGGATCTTTCATTTTAATCCCTACTATCTATACCAATATTTTAAAGAGGAAAGATTTGTATTTTTCGATTTTTGTATGTAAAGTATTGGGCCGATTTCAAAAATTCTTTCACCATTAGAAAGGTAAACCATCTGTGAGTAACATAGGCTACGTTTTTTTATTATTTTTTTAATTTCACGCGTGCGAAATCGCGACTAACAGCTAGTTTGTAATTACCTTTTTTATGATGATTGATACTTTTACGTTCTTATGAAAATTACTTCAAACTTTGTATATTTCCTATAAAAATTATAGATAAGCTGATTATTGTTTTTGATTGTTAATTAATTTATGTAATATTTATCCGTTTTTTATGGGTTTGGTTTATCTTTGAGATTAGTTATTTTAAGATAACATTATTAGACTAAATATTGATATAGACAGCTGGATGATATTATTGTTTTTATATGGGTTTATGTACTTTTATGTTATTTTTATAATTTGTTGTCTGTTTAGCATGTTTACAAAACAAACGTAAGGGTAAAGTATTACTCGACGTTTTAAATAACTTTTTAAAATGAGAATAACGAATATTAAGTGTACTTCTTACTAATATTATAAATGCGAAAGTTTAGATGGATGGATGGATGGATGCTTGTTAGCGTTTCTAGCCTAAACGGCTGAACGGATTGAAAAGACTGAAATTTGGTACTGGTTAGAGCATAGTCTGGAAGAACACATAGGCTAGTTTTTATCCCGGCAATAGTTACGGTTCCCGTGGGATTCATTAATTTAGTTTTTTAATGTTTACTCGATCATTCTGCAACGGTTCAACATATCCTTTTGAAATTTGGCACAGATATAAAACAAAGTCTGGAGTACACTTGGGATGAGGTTCATCCCCGAGAAATGTCCGATTCCCGAGGGATACGTAGTTTTTTGTTATTTATATAGTTCATATGATTTCTTATTCCACGCGGACGAAGTCGCAAGCAACAGCTCGTCTTACGAATAAATGCGAAAGTCTTGATAGAGGTTTGTTAGAGTTTATAGCTTAAACAGCTAAACGGTTATTGGTGAAATATGGCATAGATGTAGAGCATAGTCTGAAAGAACACAAAAGTTACTTGATTTTGTTTTTTTAGTTGAATATGTAAGGTACAGTCGTGTCCGTTCGCAGTATTATAGTTACAGAAAAATAATTTTCTACGTCTATGAAATAGCGAACAATAATTTTTTTTACAATTAACCCTGGATTTTGTAAAGGTCTTCTGAACACTGGTTTAAGGTGTACAAGTGGTTTACACAAAAACTATAAAGGTGGAATACGAGCAATTCCAGTACTCTTGTCCTTCCCTCTAATTTAATAAAAGAACGGGAAGGGTAGGTTTGTCGGAGGACATGTATTTGTAATATTTATTCTTTCTTTGCCCTTGAAAAGTGGGCAACAAATCAACCACCATCTGAATTATGCATATGTCTATGGGCAGCAGGTTACTATTTTAGCAAGCTATATCAGGGTGCTCGCTCGTTTGCCATCTTGAGTAAACCGTCAATGGACGCGATTGTACGTCTATTTATATTACTGTAGCTATACTGTGATAAAATAAGAAAACTACTATCAAGGCTTACTATTTATATCAATATAGATAGCGAATGATTTATCAATTTTCTCTATCTGTTTTTTTTTATAATACAAGGTGGCAAACGAGCAAGCGGCCACCTGTATCTAGCGAAGTGGAAAGCGACCGCTGCCCATAAACATCCGCAATTGCAGATGCGTTGCCTACTCTTCATTGACGGAGGAGGAGACGCACATAAGAGAACATTTCCCCTTCATATGCATCTCCTCTACCGTGAAATCCACTTTTCGTTTCCATCCTTTCCTCTTAAGAAAAGAGTGGGAAGGAAAAGGGACTAAAATTAGTCCTCCGGGACCACACTCATCAGACGAAACGCGGAATTAACTTCCACTTCACGCCTGTTTTCTGTGCGGTCGTGGTATTACACCGGGCGAGCCGGCCCATTCGTGCGAAGATGTTAAAGCGGGCTCTACCACTGTTGTTTTCCTTGTAATGTAATCTTGTCTTCTGAAACATGTTTTGAATGAGTATTACTTCTACAACTTACCGTCTTTTATTCTCCCGTGAATGAAACCATTTCTTTCACTCCAAGTCCTTAAGTCGTTAAAGAGACTTAAAGTGTATGTTTCCCCATTAAATCTACACTGAAGGTGATTCTTCTGTCTGTAAATTTCCTTATCCTACTCGCGTAGGGTCGGCGCACCTTGTTTTCGTCCTAATAACTATATTATCCGTCATCTCAGTCATCACTCCCTTCTAGATCATGTCATCTTTCACGCAATACTACTTCTAGGTCTACACTACGGGTGTACCACTTTCATAACTAACGTTCTCCTTGTTACATGTGATTCATCCCTCCTCATAACATGCTCAAACCATACTAACCTTTTACTCCTTAATTTCTCATTCTCTGGAGTTACTCTCAAACTGACTTTCTGTCTTCCAATTTTTTTTATGTCAGTATTAACTCCTTGTACCGTACCAACATATTTCTAGTATCTTTTGTATGAATAATTTCATTCCTTCCTTGTTATATATTTGCATTAATTTAGGCGGCGGTGATATTTATTTGTTTATTTATTTATTTCAGATATAAAAAGAAAGCAAAATGGTACTGGCCAGAACTTCATCTCTACTGCGGAGTGTGCAAGCTTCGCACTGGCCTGTACATACGATCTACTATCTGTTTGGTAAGTATTGGACTGGCTCTATCTATGAAACTTCATTTAATTGTTTACATTTGTGAAATTTTCAATTGCAAATTTTAATATTCAAATTCACAAATGACAACGAAGGCATATGACATTGGATACCAATTACCGTTACCATGGCAACCTAGCTTCCTTGATGCCAGCTTGTAGTTTATAGTCCCTTTCATACAAGAATGTATCCAATTTATGTACACCCTAAGTTTAATGGCGTGAAAATACAGCCTAAAGCGTGTCATACGTGTTGGGCTTATTAAAGAAATAATTATTAAAAAAATATGCTGCGATTTCTGACATCCTACGCTACGAAATACTGTGTGTTACGCTTTATTATATTAGTATAGATAGACATAGATTTATTTGACTTATACAATAATACGTTGTAATTAATTACAAGCGTTTAACTATTTTTATATCATAAGATGGCAAGCGAACAAGCGGCCACCTAAATCTGCCACAGATATTTACAGACTCGTTGCCTACTCGTGGTAGACGGAGGTGACCCACATTGCAGGCACGCACATGCGTCTCCATCATCAAATCCACTATCCCTTCCCATCCTTTCCTTATAAGAAAGGGTGGAAAGGGAAAAAGACTAAAAGTAGACTAGTACTAAAAGATAATGTTTCTATTGTTTTAGGTGTTCTACGTAATAGCAACTATACTCAATATTCTTATGGTATACTACATAGTAGCCCGCGGGAGATTTCTATTTTCAATGGATATGTCGGTATTAGAAGAATATTTCGATGGTAATTTGACAGCAGAGACGTTTGTGCAAGCGAAGAAAATTTATACTTTGATATTATCTTATTTAATAGTGTGGTGTGTCTTCAAATTTATATACATCTTGTCTCTTGTATCCACCATCTATGCAATGTACAAAGTAAGTATTAACATTTTTTTTTATTTTGTTCCCGTACTGTTTGTCTATGCAAGAGTATTCTGTACTAATGTTATAAAGAGGAAAACTTTGTTTGTTTCATTATGAAATAATGCAAAAACTACTGGGCCGATTTCGTAAATTCTTTCACCATTAAAAAGCTACGTTGTCAGTGAGTAACATAGGCTGTGTTTTATGTTATTTTTTTAATTTAACGCGGACCGAGTCGCGGACGAAAGCTAGTGTTTAATAAATATGTTGATTAGTTGCTAGATTTATATAAACATAGTACAGATGGTATAAAAATTATTAAAAGGAGATTCATCTATGAAGTAAACTTTGATTTAAATTTTATTTAATTCGTAGGATTTTAAGTGTTCAATTATATAAAAAATCTTAAATCTCTAAATAACATGATTCAACAAATTAAGTTAGGTAGTGACTTGGTAAATGACGCATTTATAGCGTAACTAGCTGTCGCCCTCGACTTCGTCCGCGTGGAGTTAAAAAAGAAACAAAAGCAAGCTTATGAGGTTTTCCAGACTATCCTCTATATTTATTCCAAATTTCATCGAAATCCGTTCAGCCGTTTAGGCTACAAATTTTAACAAACTTCCATCCTTCTATCTAAACTTTCGCATTTATAATATTAGTAAGATTAGTAAGATATTGACTCATCTACATACTAATGTTTAGTGTTTTTACTGAGATACAAGGAAATAAATCTTTTAATCAAAAAAATGAACAAATACCAAATTGCTAGTTTCTTACTGGTACAAAACAGAACCATATATGGTTCTCCTTTTCGATAGTTTCAAAAATAAAACTATGTGTAGGCTTTTTGCAAATTTTTAAATATGAAAAGAATTATTTGCATTGTAATGCTAAATTGTAGAAAAGTCGAGCATGATTGTATGACAATCAGCATTTTTGTATGTATTTCTTAGAAAAAAGCCGATAACGCTTAGTCTATTTAAATAAAATAAAAGATAAGATTGAGAATTGACTGGTTCTTCGATAAAATTATAGCATACTAGCTGTCGCTCGCAACTCCGTCTGCGTAGAATTAAAAAAAAACAAAATTGAGTAGCCTATGTGTTCTTCCAGACTATCTTCTATGTCTATGCCAAATTTAATCGAAATCCGTTCACTCGTTTGGGCTACAAACTCTAACAAACATCCATCCATCTAAACTTTTGCATTTATAATTTTAGTATGATATTTAAAGTAAAATGTCGAATAATAGAATATTTTAAACATCTGCTTATATATTTTCTCTCACATATTTCCTTTGTAAGAACAGAGACGTCAATATTTTTGTATACTCCTCAACAGTCGAAACCCATTGGACTTTATTAACCGTTATTGTTATTTCAGAAAAAGCCGAGAATTTTGAAAATAGTCCTTTTTAATAACACTCTCAATTGGATTTTGGATGTCATATTGTCATTTTTCGGAGCTGTACTGACACAATTATTCTCTAAAGCTTTAGTCGTGTTTTGTATTTGTAAGTATTAAAAAATCTAAATATTTTAACTTCAAAATAATGTACAGTCAACTACGAACGCGATATACGAGTTATTTAAAATAATACCAACGTTTTCCGACATAAAAGACGTTACAATGAATTTTTTATTATAACATAAGGTGGCAAACACGCAAGCGGCCACGTGAATCCGCCATAATGGCGAAGCAACCGCTGCCCATAGACATCCGCGATCGCAGATGCATTGCCTACCCTTATCCGACGAAAGAGGAGACGCACATAAAGAGAATATTTCCCCTTCCTATGCACCTCCTCTACCGTCAAATCCACTTCGCGTTGCACCACACTCATCAGACGAAACACGGAATTGCTTCCATTTGACGCCTGTCTTCTGTGTGGTCGTGGTATTACACCGGGCGTGCCGGCCCATTCGTACTAAGATGTTAAATAGGGCACTGTTAAAAATACCATCAAACTCCATGACTGTACATATTTGTGTATTAAAATTAAATGATTAGGTTTTTTCTGTAGATTAAAAAATAGATAATTTAATCTGATTATTTTTTTAGTATTCGAAGGGTACAATATATTGGCGTTAGCAAGTGAATACAAGCAATTGAAAGGAAAATCAAAACTTTTAATAAACCTGCCTATCACAAGTGTTGAAGTGCCCTCACCAACAGATGGCTCTGATCAATTGCAAGAGATACGTCACAATGGATTTAAACATTGCGAAACTTGTTCTTGTATAATCGAACCAATGTTACCAAATACTTCTGAACCTAGAATAGTACCATCATCTTCTGTAACGACAGCTCAATGTACGCCGGTTGAAGAAGAAAAACAATTTAACATCAAGGATGTAGAAATAATTTTCAACCAAGATCAATTGTTGCAACAGAGTAGTTCTGTATTAGAAAATAGAAATACAAGACTATATCGACCGACAGTGTTAGAACTACCGCCGTATAATGAAGAGAGAGAGATAGATATAAAGAAAGAGAAAGAATCAGATGTGCCAGTTATTTATGACCAAAATCAATTGAATATTTGTGGCAGCCCTGTGTTAGAGAGTCAAGAATGTTAATAATTTTCTACCTATAGTAACAAAATTTCGTCTGGAAATATGTAAAATCTAAATGGACATAGAAAATAGCCTGAAATAAAAAAAATATTACAGCTATAGTACTCTTGTGACTTTTTTATACTAATAGATGGCGCTATTGAACTATTATAGTTTCACTTATTCCTACCAGGGAAGATAACTTTGTCGGTCTATAACAGTATACATACTAAGACCGCGAACACCTTTGACTCAACTATCGCACGACTATTTAGTCTCGCTTTGATTCCTATGAGCTTATATGGAGGTCACACTACTCGATTTTTAGTTGTGCAAAACAGAATTGGCTGCGAAACAATCGACAATCGCACAACGGTTGTGCGATAGTTTAGTCAAAGGTGTGCGGCTTTATGGTAATTTATCCAATTGTTTATTAAATATGAATATAATAGGAATTATAATATTTTCGTTTGAATTACGACTTATTTAGTTTTTAATTACTTTAAGGTTTCTAAAACATTGTTTCTCTTTAAATAAATAAATGATTCTCTATATTTTGATGTTAATTTGATATCTATGCCGGTTTGATCTGAACCTAAAGAAAAATAGAGAAAGGAGTACATAATGTAATGTGACGTTACTGAATATTACAAATACAAATATTTTATTGGTAAGAGAATTACAAGTCATTATGTTAAAAAATAAATAAAAACCCATACAGATATTCTGAATAAAAATTGTGTACATAACCAATCATGGTAGGAAAAATTCTTCGACACTATAGAAGGCTTTTTGTATTAGTTATGACTTAAGTTGATTTTTAAAAATTTATTACAGTAATAATAGGGAACATCGAATCAGTTTTCTTATAGATTACTTAATATAAATTTGACTAGGATAAACGTTTTTTAATTTAACATAGAGTTGTGATATTATTTTTAAATGGCGTCGACAATTGTACTTGTTCTTAAACTTGGAACCCATTCAGATTTTCTGTGTGTTGTATGTTGTAGAAAGGGTGTCGCCAATACTAGTAAAAAATATTTTATAATGTGGGCTAATTTAAAAAAAAAACTGATGTCATTACTGAGTTACATAGGGATTATAGGCTCCTTATTGTTTCTAAGTGGTATACAAATTAAATCTGTTATACAATTTTGATTCTCTAGACTGGAAAAATCCGATAGGTGGCGCCCACGAGTGGCAGTCGTTTAATTTTTTTTTGCATAGTTCAATTACACGTCCATCTTAAACGTAACATTTCTAAATATTTCTAACTTTTTGGCTTTTAAACAGACATCGTCATATTTAAGTACATTTAGGTATTTGCTACTGATATCTCAGTGTTATTATTAGTTAATAGCTGTCGCCCGCGACTCCGTCCACGTGGAATTGATGAAAAAACGAAAGTATAAGCGTATTTGTTCTTCCAGACTGTCCATCTACACCAGATTTCATCGAAATCCATTCAGCAGTTTAGGCTACAAACTCTAATAAACATCCATCCATTTAACTTTCGCATTTATAATATTAGTAAGATTACTTGTTAAATGTAATTATAACTTGTTCGCAAAAAATTTATCTTTGTTTATATTATAATTGTTGTCGACAAATTGTTGGGGTTATACCAATAAGTTACTTCAATTGGTTTTTACAATAACATAGTTTCCCAAAACAAGTAGAATATTAACTTCCGATGATAGGGGGATTCCCGTTTGTTTTGTTATGAACTATATCATTCGTGTTTTGTTTGTTGTTTTTAGAATATGAGTTTTTTATCTTTTTAAATTAAATCAAATAACAACATGCTTTTGTTTTCGGCAATGAAAACAAAACACAGTTCATAGTAGTTGAACTTTGTATAGTATTCTGTTTCATTATCATAAATAATTTAATGACATTTTGAGGTTATTTTTTAAATACTCACAACTTCTTTATCATAATATACTAATTATAAATACAAATGTTTGGATTGATGGATGGGCAAACCCTTTATGATTGGTATAACTGGAGTTTTTTAGTTGAAAATGTAGAACATAGTCTGGAAGAAAACGTCGACTTACTAAGTTTTAAGGTGTTAATATTTATGGTGAAAATTATCTTAAAATCTCCAATACAATTCACGGCTGTCAAAGTGTTAAACCACTTACACCACCGTCAAATCTATTTTTCCTTCCCGTCCCTTCCTGTTCAGAAAAGGGTGGAAAGGAAAAGGGACTAAAATTAATTTGCCGGCACCACACTCATCAGACGAAACGCGGAATTGCTTCCATTTCACGCATGTCTTGTGTAGTGTGAAGTTAAGTTAAAAGGTTGCGGAAGTATAACGGATGCGGACGACACAGGATCGAGCATCATGCGATTAGGCTAATGATAATAAAGAGTTAGCTTATATTATGGAAAAATAAGTTCGGTATGATAATTGTTTTAACGCATTTATCTCGGACAAAACGACGGAAGCTGTATGTACATAAATACACCAATCACAGGATGTTTTATTCAGTCTCGTGTGGGCCGACTGAGTGTGCGCAAGTGTTTGTGTGATCCAACAAAATGTATTGTGAGATACCCAAATTATTTAGATGCTGTTTTTGCCTGCCTCTACGGAAAGGTGCTTTGATATTTGGATATGTTAATATTGTAAGTATGATAGTCTTATTATTAGTAATGTGAATTTATAAATTAGATTTCTAATTTTGGATTTTGAATACTGTTTTGTTCATATATTAGCGAACTGTTATGATGTTAGGGAAGGTCAATGACCAGCAGTGGACAGTATATTTCTCATAGATTCTAATTGCATTGATTCGATTCTCAATCGACTTGTTTATGCAATTTTTATTACCCTGAGAGTCTATCACGAATATCTTTGTGACAGTCGCGAGAACGTATTCGTAACGTCATCGACATTATTTGAGATGTGTCTTTGTACTTTAATAGAGGTGCTGCATAAATCTAATACAAATTTTATCTATTACGTTACGAAAACTATCTCATCACGAATGTTCTTAATACGCCCTCTGGACACATCCTTTAAAATCTCTGGATATCAATATCAATATAAAATTCTAATCTGTTTATTGCTACCTTGTTGTTTTGAGAAGGGAATGACAGCGAGGACTATAAGTTTTGTACTTGTCATTTACTAATCTGTGACAAGATACGACCCCTTCTCGATCTTGACCTGAGGTGTTATGATCGAGGACAAACCGGGTCAAAGCGACTCTGACGTCATGCAACTTCAAGTATAACGTTGGTTTCCACTGCTGTAACATTTAGAAAAACTATCTCTATTTTGGAGAAGAGAATGACAGAGATGAAAGTCGTTAGAAAAGGTATAGGTACAAATGTCAGTGTAAATTACAATTGAGTCAAGGTTTTTTTTCATCAGACGAAGAGGTTTCAAAGAGATAATCAATTTAAGATACTATTACGTCCTTAACAAGATTGACGGCGTGATATTTGAATGCTACATTAATATAGGTTCAACGACTTATGGGACAGGGGTCCATATGTGAATGTTACATTCCTCGGGTCATCGAACATAATGTGCATATTATCTTGGAAGAGATAGTATAACAAAAGCAATTAAGTTTGCAATTAAATAAAAAAGAAGAAAGGCGACAGTATAAATAAATTGTATTTTAGTTTTCTGATAAAATAGGTTATTTTTTATCAACAAATGAAAACATTCTAAGTAAATCCATGGTCCTTGTCGCCTCCACATAACAGATTAATAAGAGATTCAAAAAAATCTTGACGTATATTTATAAAATAATAAATGTAGCCTATGTTATTAATTAATAACGTAGCTTTTAAATGGTAAAAGAATTTTTCAAATCGACCCAGTGGTTTTTGAGTTATTTCAATTGATACAAAAATGTTATTCTTTCTCAAAACCAATGTCTCTATTTGCAGCTGTTTTCCATCTTTATGCTGTCTCTGTACAGCTACTCTGTACATAATGCGTTGGGATTTACAATGGTGTACCACGGCTCCACCGCAGGGTTAGAAGACGGGGTCTGTGTGGGCATCTATTGCGTGGAGATACTTATGAATGTTGCTCTAGTGTATGGAGCCCATGTGGTAAGATGTTTGTTATATTATTAATATAAGAGTACTACTAAAATGTAATCAACAAAATAGCCTATGTTACACATAGATAAATTACCTATCTAACGGTGAAAGAATTTTTAAAATCGGGCCAGTAGTTTTTGAGTTATTTGAATACAAAAATCTAATAATTTACGAGTAAATCTTTTCTCTTTATAATATTAGTATAAATAATATGACCAAAATAATGTCGATTTTAGGCATCAACATTCAGTTGTTTCGAGTTTAAAATGTCGTTTGAGATTATTGAAAATTGTTACACTCAATACTGTTAATGAGATGTGATTTTTATGTTTTTGTCGTTTTTACATTTCTGTAGAAGCACTAACACATGAAGTTCCCCTTGTTAGCACAGATCACGTAATGTTATCCGGAACAGTTCAAATGAACGGCCACGTCCTGTGACAATTTGCTTTGTTCCCGCCTGCTTGTGTCATCCGGGTTTACAATATTATTGTCCTTGATTAATGAAGTTCATGGACATAGAATTAAAATGAGAAACCTACAATTTTTTTAGTTTTTTTTTAGTTGTGCAACTAAACAGTTGAATTGGCTGCGAAACAATCGACAATCGCACAACAGTTTTTAAAGGTGTGCGCCCTTTCTTACAATTTTGTTTGTTGCAGAGGAACATTACGTTTTTAAAAAGCTTCTATTACTACGCCGTGGCGACTGTGCTGATGACGTTCATAATTCAGAGCATATCTTTAGCGAATTCGGTTCACTTTGGAATGGTCATTGAAATGCTCTCTCTGTATATAACTGGACTGTGTAAGTACACATAATTCCTCAAGAGTTTTTTTTTTAAGAAGAAGGTACTAAGAAAACGGTAAAGCCGAATGACTGACATTATGACGCAACGATTAGAAATTTGATGGCTGTTGAAATTAAAAAAAAAATGAGTAGCCTATGTGTTCTTCCAGACTATCCTCTACATCTGTACTAAATTTCATCGAATTCCGTTCAGCCGTTTAGGCTTCAAATTCTAATAAACATCCATCCGATTTTTCGCATTTATATCAGTACCATAAGAATTCAACCCGTAGTGGGCCAGTATCATTCACTATGGTTTACTCACCCCTTGTAAGAGTAGGCTTCGAACCCCAAGTGGAGACGTATAGTGAGCTGGTGATGATGATGATGAATTTAACAGGTATACATTTGTATTTGATCATCGTGGTGCGAAGTCTGGTGAGCAAATTGGAGATATCAGATGGCCATGCATACGAAAACCAACTCCAGCAAATCGTCAGCGGAGAGAACATAGTGGAAGGGAATGGAATTTACCCTAGTACTGTAGTACCGAATACCACCGCGTAGTTACCCTTCCATTCTACTGTTCCTTTAATACCTTTAATGTAAACCAGAGGTTCTCAAACTTTTGCAGACCTCTTTAATTAACTGGTCTCAAAGCTCTTGCATACGAGTACATTTCGTTTTCTGTAACTTTTCTGTAATTAAATTAAGTTTTAGTAATGGGGATGTTTCCTAATGTTACAAATCCAAATAAAGTTATGTTTAATATTTTAAAGACAGCATTTTATAACCTATAATAACATTTA